CTCCCTAAGCCTTTAATTTAGCTTCATTTGAAGCACCAACTTTCTCATATTTAATTATAGTTTTTGCTATTTAATTAAAACATGTAAAACACGTAATAAAAGCGTCAATGAAGGGTACCATAAGGAGTTGGGAAAAGTGCACAGTTGGTTCTCAAAATACCTATCATTCAGCTGCCAAAGATGGAGAGAAGAAAAAGAAAGGACGAAAGAGCATCACAAACATGTCAACATGTGGTGGGAAAGGACCCGGAGAATCCTTCATTCTGTGTGCAATATAAACTGTGTGTGAAACTGCCCCTCTTTCTATCCAGACCCATTCAGATCTCAGCTATGTTTTGTTTGGGGGTTTTGGCAATGGGAATTGATCCTATGACCTGTGCATTAGTTACTTTTCACCACTGTGATGAAATATCAGCCAGAGGAACTTTAAAAATGCAACATTTCTCTTGCTCACAGGCTCAGAGGGTTCAGTCAGCCATACCAGGGAGGGAATCATAGCAGCTCTCAAGAAAGGCAAGAAGCACAGCAGAACCTAACAGGAAGAAACCAGGGCAAGGCAAAGACCCCAAAATCTCAGTCCCCATGGCCTTTTTTTTTTTTCCTAACTAACCTCACCTTCGACAGCTTCACCATGCTGCAATTGTCTACTGTGGTTTCAAATTTAGCAGGGATTCAATCCTGCAGATTACGTGACCTCTGGCGGCAATCACTATGCCTGGCTTATCTTGGAATATTCATGTCAGCAAGATGGCGCACTCTTGGAGGATCCCCTGATTCTTTTGTATGTGTTTAATATTAAATAAGCAATTGAACACAATGCAGAACTGTGCATGTTACAAACATTAGGCTCTGAGCTAAATAATTATCCAAAAACTCAACTGTAAGGTAACTCTAGCTAACTAGAGTAAAGTAAATCTGAAGGGAAAAAAAAGGAGTGAAAAGAAAAGTATCTCTAATAATTGGATCTAAATGGACAATGACATGGCCGGTAATGAATTAAGCAATAGACACCATTGCGCAGAGTAAATGTGCTACCACCTTACCTAGCTGAGACACGGTCGTTGTTAGAGAAAAATTTTATGACACAACAAAACACATACTCTCCATTCATTGCCTTTGTGGTGGTGGTATTAGAAATATTAGGTTATTTTCCCCTTACCTGCTCAACAAAGCTTTGTAGAAAAGATAAACAAGCAACAGTGAAAATGCCTCTGTGATTCCTCCATGAATTCTTTTTTTTTTTTTT